ATGGAATCCTCGTTTGGGAGGTACTTCCGTTTGTAATGCTTTGGGCATAAGTCTTCGAATGAAGATCATGGCGGAGGCTTATTTAGCTTTTCCTTACCATTGTTGGTGTCAATGGTGTCTCAGCTTCTTGATAGTCAAGTGGAGATTCATGTCTTGTACCCCACATAAAGTGGTTTCTATTAGAAACATCCAAATGAGGGAAATCGAACTTGTGATGGTTCGACAATCCACTGATTTGGAGGGAACAAGATTGTGATTAGTGCTATGGGAATGAATCATCCATTAGCATCAAAGTTAGAACATTTGGGTTCCAAGACATGATTTTCATGAAAAACATCAGGTTTTCATGGGTGTATTGTTTTATGAAAACTTCGATTTTCAAAGGAACTAAATTTGAAACTACAAGTTTAATTTAGTTTATGAACGTTTAGTTTATAAAAGAGAGGTTCCTGCAATAACACATAATGCAATATGCTAATTTAGGTGTAGTGGATTTGAGGTTCTTTGGGAACTCAAGTGTGAGAGTTTCGTTACTACAAAAGTATGCCAACGGGTCAAAGTATAAAAATAAATTATTGAATCGTTAATGTCCAGAAGTGATCTTCAAGTTAATAATTTTGGATTCATTATCAGATTAATGGACTGCAGGTCACTTTTATTTAATTCAATACATCGGGACTGGACATGGTCGATCGTAGAAGCAAAATAAAATTTGTCAAGGCTCATTAATTATTTAATGTTGGTTGCAGGCCACACAAATAAATTAGGCCCAAATTGGGCTCAGGTAGGCTGCAATTTGCAGCCCAATAACATGCAAAGCAAGCTGCATGCTTGTTGCAGTGTTACGGGCCGAGCAAAAAAAGTAGCCCAGCAGCACTAGGCTGCTGGCTGTGCAACCCAGGACGGCTGGTATGAGTGCTAAAATAAAAAGAAAGCCCAAGTGGGCGTAAGGGAAAACCAGCCCAGTTTTACTTTGGCTACAGCCCGAAAGGGAATCGGGCACAGGAAAGTTGAAGCCCAAGTAGGCTGAGGACTGCAGGCCCAGCGCACAGGAAAGTTTGCCCAGGCCGAATACATGGTGGTGCGGCTAACCTGCAGCAAAGCCCATGGGGCTGCTGTGGTCTAGATGAAACATGCCGGAGCTGCTGGCTTGGCTCGGCTTGGTGGAGGTGCGGCTTCAGGCCGTTTCCACAAAACATCCGCTTTTTGTTTCCCTTTTTTTCTTTTCTTTTTTTCTCTCTAAATTCTTAGGATTTGAAAAACCTTAATTGCTTTTAATTTATTTTGATTCTTTTACTCACATATTCCACATAGCGATTTATAATTGTGTAATGCATGAACAAATATATATATTGACAAATATATGAACATATACAATATATATATCGGAAGGAAAATATAAACATAGGGGGTTCATGCATCATGGGGAATGTTTTCATGCTTCACGGTCGTTTCAAATATCTTACTTTATTTTAAGCGTACTTGATTCGTAGAAAACAATAAAAGCCTTTGAATTTGTAGAAGATCCTTCTCAGAAAGCCGGAATTGCATCTCCAATGCGTTGTATCACGTTCAACATAGAAAAATTAAATTGAATCAATAGCATGTAGATCAATTCAATAAAATAATTAATCATAAAAAGAATGATTAAAACATAATACTCCCCTAATTGAAAAGTAAATTCTCTTGTTAGCGCAGCGTTAAAAGCGTGCTAATAACGTGTTGTAGACATAATTTACTGAACAATTATAGAGGCCATAGAGAGAGGAAGGTGCGCCAATAGTAGAGAGAAGAAAGAGATGTGTAATTGTGGGTGTGTTCTATTCTAGTAATAGAGAAGGTTAATTTCTTACCCTTTTATGATTACAACTCTTAATAGGTAATCAACTCCTAATAAGAATATAAGAGATATTCCAAGATATACTAGGATTTACACAATCACATTCCTAATCTAATAAGATTGCAACACATATCAATTTTTCACAATCATTAGTTTTTTTATCTTTTTTTTTTTTTTTGAGCAAACAATATTATTTACACTAAGGAAGAGGGATGAGTTTAGCCTCACAATGGGCTAGCGATAATGTGGTTCAAATTTACCTTTGGTGAGAATTGAACCTAAGACCTCGACCTCTCACTTACAAGCGAAGACGAATACCACTAGACCATAGTATTAAGTAGCTTATCTCATCTTAACTTTTTTAAGTTTTCTATTCAAAATAAGTCATGTGCCTTGCACATAATTTGTGTTGTTCAGGTTATTTTGGACATTTCAACTCCTCACTCCTCTTCTAACAAAGTGCTTCCCCTTCTAACATGTTGACTTCGAGAATAAAATATTTCTAGGGCCTCTTAATAAACAAAAAATGGGGTTGATTTGTAGGATCCATTGATCTAAGTTTTTCATTCGAAAAGGGTCTAAAATAACCCTAAACACATTAATGGAAAATTAATGACAGATCGGTCAAAATTTTAATTCGATTACATGCGATACTAAATGACTTTGGGTTTACTTTATGATTTTGAGGGGGGAAACTATGAGAGGCAAGTACAAACCAGCTAAGAGCAAGTCCATCTGTTCTGCCATGGTAAAGGACATGGAGAAGCTAGAGTAATTACTATTCGCGCTGAATAATAATTGCCTAATTATGCGTTCATCCTTGCAAGAATCTCCATGACAATTATTATTCACAATTATTATTTTTCTTTCGGATGCCTAATTAAATCAATAATTATCGGACAGGTGAGACTAATTTTAAATAGGTTGCTCAAAAATCACCATGTGTCCTTGGAAAACATACAAAATGTTTTGTGTGAGACCATGATTTTTTAGGGCTAGAGTAAGGCTGATTAGAATACAAACACCTTAGAAATTGGGGGTCACACACTAAACAGCTCCAACTAGGTTCAGTTGCACAAACAGACTAGCTATGCCACAAGATCTTGCGTTCTAGGAAGGCAGGCAAATTCTGCCAACTTCATCGAGATTGACCATTCTCTTGTTATGCAAGATATGAAAATTTGATATGAATGGGGATCCTATAAGTTTCCTATATTCTTGCAAATTCCTACAATCTAGATATTGACGTGCGCGGTAAGTAATCGCACTCCTAAGAGGATGCAATATCTACTCCTAGATATCTTTTGGGATTCCCTATGTTTATTACAGATTCTATATCCTAAAAGAACTCTCTATCGACTAGTATAAATGCACCTTTCAAGTGTTCATCTCTGGTAACACAATTATCGTATAATTTATTCTCTTATTTACTACCTGAGTATCATAAATTGTTTATTAACTTAACCGTCAGAGAGCCTTTGAACCATACCCCACCGGTGCCTAGGTATCTTACGATCGTTTACTCTTTTACTGGTGGGCGAGTTTGTACATCTTCTTCACACACGATTCTTGGTACTTTCGGTGAGAGTGAACTCATATTCTCTCGACCAAATAACTCTGCCACAATCATGTATGCTGAAGAAAGTTTAGTTAACGCTCATGTTAACACCTCAACGGAAAACAATTTACTTACTGACGCCTTTACCACCCTAGGTGCAAGCGATGAGGTGTCGGACCCTTCAACCGTCCCAGGGAATAACGGGCAAGCAATGCAGTCCTAGATTATAATTAAGTAATTAACCTAGGTTTTCAGCAAATTTTGTAACCGAAAATCCTATTTTCTTTTCCATCTATTACGGACTTCTTTGACACGATAAAATACACAAGCATGAAAAACTGCAGTCATCAATCATGTAAAAAAAAAAAAAAAACAATTTTAATCATATCAACAATTAAGGGAAACTACGAACGGACTAGTGTAATTTTTCTTCGGTTAATTATAAAATCAAATTCTTTTGTTTATACTTCTAATTTTATTTTAACCTATAAAATAAATTTAGAACAATATAATAAAAAAAATTATTTAGTAAATTCGTGCATAATAAAATATGCAATGAAAAACACATTAGAACTATGTATAACACATACTTCGTTGATTAACCATGACTCTGATACCACTGTTGGGCTACTTTAGTACATGTGTGCGGAAGCGTGGAAAGATGACTTAAGCATATATAATCCAATTTACATGTATGATTAGCGGAACTTTAGATTCCGTTTAATCTTATTAAATTAATCCATATGATTTAGGTTAATCGACGTGCTTGTATTCATGTCAAACAATTTTAAGAACATATGCATAAACTTAAATTAAGTCTAGAATTGCAACCTTTAGATTTTATATGAGGATGAATTCGTTATTGAGGCTCCTAAGTGTAGCCCTCTACTAGTATCCACGGATGAGTCTCAAGTTGGTTAAACAAGAAGAATTGCTACGTCCTTCTCCTCCAATAGGTGCGGCGGCAAGGGTGTGCTTCTGGTGTTTTTGTTTTTCAATTTCTATTGTAGTAACTAGTAAGGTTTTTTTTTTATCAAACTAACTTTTTTCCTTAACAGGTTGAAACGGATTATCCGCGTGTAAATCCATTAAGAAAGGGTTCTTAATGGGAGACCCGATAACGACCTGATTAGTTATCGCATTGACCAAAAATTCGTTATTTTCGTGTTGTGTTAACGGATCGTGTAATAAATTGTCAAATTTAGTTTTTACCTATCACACATCATTTTCAATTTCCGACCGTCTGATTAAATGAATTTAAAAAATTGATAAAAAAGGAATTAACAAAAATATGTGAGACTAAAAAGGATGTGTGAATTGTATTGCATGACCCATTTCTATATAATAACTTCTGCATCTTTCCTTTTCGTTTTCAAGCCAAGCCAACAAATTTTAGAGAAAAATTCTAATCCACAAATTATTTTGTTGTTCAAATTCGTTTAAAGGTAGGAGCCATTAATGGTGTTTACAAATTTGTTGGTACATTCCAAAAGCGACGTGTTCATAACACTTACGCGCACGATTCACGCAACCTGCCCATTTCGGTAATTTGACACGTTAGGAATCTAAACGACGACCAATAAATCCGATCCTCCACATAAAACGACAACGAAATATTCATGGATCACAAGCATATCGCGCTCTAGATAAACCGAACACCACCATTGCCAAGTGCCAACGACCCCCACTATCTCTCCACGCGCCGCTCTCTCTCCCTCCTCCATGGCGATCACTCTCCACCTCTGCCGAATTCCGCCGCGTACCGATCTCTTCTTCTCGGAGAGCCTCACCGGGAAGCCATCTCTCAGTTTCCGGAAACCTTTCTCCGTCCGATGCTCCGGGGACTCCTCTTCCTCCGCCGTCGAGTCCGACTTCGACGCCAAGGTCTTCCGCAAGAACCTCACTCGAAGCAAGAATTACAACCGCAGAGGCTTCGGCCACAAAGAGGCGACCGTCGAGCTTATGAACCGCGAATACACAAGTGAGTAATCTATAGACTATAATCAGCTGCAGCTACTCCTCAGAATCAGTAATTAAGCAGCTAATGAGTCGATTAATTCATTTTAATTGTTGAGTTTTGATGATTTAAGGCGATATTATTAAGACCTTGAAAGAGAACGGGTTCGAGTACACCTGGGGAAACGTGACGGTGAAGCTCGCCGAGGCGTACGGATTCTGTTGGGGCGTTGAGAGAGCCGTGCAGATTGCTTACGAGGCCAGAAAGCAGTTCCCCGATGATAAGATCTGGATCACCAACGAGATCATCCACAATCCAACGGTCAATAAGGTCGCTATTAATTTTTGCAATTTAATTTGGTTTAATGTCATTCATTTTATTTGTAAAATATATCGAATGTATTAAAAAAAGTTAGTTAATTATTTAATCAATTTTTTTTAGGTCAAACAATAGATTTTGTTAGATTAATTATTAGATAATGTAAGGGCTTAACACCACGGTAAAGTGCCACTTGCTAATAATTTAATTAATTGAGTTGAGATGAAATGGGCAGAGGTTGGAGGAGATGAAGGTGGAGAACATTCCAAGAGAGGAAGGGCAGAAGCAGTTTGATGTGGTGAACGAGGGCGATGTGGTCATTTTGCCTGCTTTCGGAGCCGGAGTGGATGAGATGCTCAACTTGAGTAACAGGGATGTTCAAATTGTTGACACTACTTGCCCCTGGGTTTCCAAGGTTGGCATTTTACTTTTAGTCCATCGACATTTTTGGCGAAAATTTAAATTGGGTCTGATATGTTATGATGATGTTTTCGCGTGAAGGTTTGGAATACTGTGGAGAAGCACAAGAAAGGAGATTACACTTCGATCATTCATGGGAAATATTCTCATGAGGAGACTGTGGCCACGGCTTCTTTTGCCGGGAAATACGTTATAGTGAAAAACATGGATGAGGTATACAAGTGTTTCGTACTTTTTCGTAGATTTTCTGGCGAGTTAAAAATTTTTAGCTTCAGTTTATAGTGCTTCTCTTTGTCAAGCTAATGAGTTATTAATACCAATTTTATTTCAGGCAACATATGTGTGTGACTATATTCTTGGAGGTGAGCTTAATGGGTCTAGCTCGACTAAAGAGGCATTTATGGAGGTGCTGTTTTGAGTTGCTTATATGGATTCAATTGGTTTTGTATAGTATCACGCAGTGTTGAAGTGTTTTTGTCTTTGTATGCAGAAATTTAAAAAGGCACTTTCTCCTGGGTTTGATCCGGACAGAGACCTGGTAAAAGTAGGCATTGCAAATCAGACTACGATGCTTAAGGGGGAAACGGAAGAGATTGGTTAGTCTTTGAAGTTATGTTAAGTTAGTCCATCATTTGGTGAACAGATTATTAGGGTAAATTATGGACTGCCTCTTTCAATCTAACAGGAAAATTAGTAGAGAGGACCATGATGCGTAAGCACGGAGTGGAAAATGTCAATGACCACTTTGTGAGCTTCAACACAATATGTGATGCAACTCAGGCAAGTTCTTTCTCTTGTTCATGGCTTTTCTGGTTAGAATCTTATTAGATTTCTATTAGAACAATGTGTAACCATGCCTTGTCTTTTATCCTCTTGTAAGATTGTATTTATTTTAATACCCCACAGCAGCAGTTATGTGCACACCCTTGCGAAGCTTTTGTCATTTGGCTTGAAGGCAGGGTTACTTTAAAACACTTGCTCACCAACAGTTTTGTATACATTTTTTTGAACATACCGAGAGATTTAAAATGTGATATGTGTTCCGTTTATAGGAGCGACAAGATGCAATGTACAAGCTTGTTGAGGAAAAGCTTGATCTTTTGTTAGTCATTGGTGGGTGGAACTCGAGTAACACCTCTCACCTACAAGAAATTGCAGAAGAACGTGGAATTCCCTCGTATTGGATCGACAGTGAGAAGAGAATAGGCCCCGGAAACAGGATAGCTTATAAGCTCAATGTGAGTCTCTGAAGCCATAGAACTGCAATTTAGTTTGTTCTGGTTTACAAAATTATGTTATTCTTCTTCCAAAACAATAACAGAAACAAAACTACCTTATTCTGTTATTCGTTGTCTTTCCTATATGGCTTTGTACTTATAATACCTCTCTGTCGTGTTTCTTTGATAGCATGGCGAGTTGGTCGAGAAAGAGAACTGGCTGCCTGAAGGTCCCATCACAATTGGAGTGACATCTGGTGCCTCTACTCCAGATAAGGTAATTCGTATCTATGTGAATGTTATTTGAACCACTAAACCGCATTTGCTGAAACTTGAAAGCCATGTGAATTCACGTTATCTGCTGACTTTTAACTTCCTAGCTTAATAATTGATCAATTCAAATCCATTTGGGTTTTTCTCCCAGGTCGTCGAAGACACTCTTATCAGGGTGTTCGACCTCAAGCGTGAAGAAGCCCTGCAACTAGCATAATCCAAGTTAGGCATCATCGCTTGATAGTTATATAAGCAACAGGAAAGTGTACTGTATCTTATGTACCCTAGAAACGTAATTGTTGCATCTTGTATGATATTAGGTCGAGGTTCCATTGTTGTACCTTGTATGTGTTAATGTGCCTTGATTCGAGACCTGTAAACTCAGGTCCAAATTCCTCATTTACGGTCTCGATGTAACCGAAGTCCTACATATGAGATGTCGCTTTCACGATGGACAAAATCTTGGGTGCAATCAAGTTATATCTCCTATTTTTATCACGTGACATGCTGCTTCATTTGTAGGCCCGTTGATATTCATTTTCCTTTTGAATTTTCACATTTTGTGAAACTGATAATTTGTTTGATAATTACTTCTAATTTTAAGTTCTAAAATAAAAAAACGAAGACTAAAAGCACTTAACAAACAAGTTTTCAGTTTTTAAAACAAGAAAATTGAAAACTAAAAATGAAATGTTTATCAAATGGCCGTTAAAGAAACCTAAAATGGGAAGACAATCAAAAGCACAACTCCTCCAAATGCATTCACATTTCGTCAAAGAAACGATCCATTCACAACTTCGGAAAGGGAAGCAAATAGGCACAGATTCTGGGAGCTACATTCACGTACATTTAGGGTAAAGTGCCGATTTAGTTCATAAACTATCACCTTACTGAAAATTAGGTCCCTGGATTATTTTTTTAATAAAATAAGTCCCTAAATTAATTAGAAATTGCTAGATATTATCGAATCTTTTGACAATGCAGTTTCATAACAAGTTTTGAAGATTTGGAGCATCAACACTTAAAAACAGTTTCCTTATAATGTTCATCATATATATTGTCGTAAAATGCTTATTTCTAGTGTTTTTAGGTTTGGTGCAGAGATATTAACATTATTTTCGGGATCATCTTCAGGGTCAAGCTCTGCGTGAATAATCAAATCTTCAAGTATGGGGCAACAGGAAAAAAGCCGGGCCATTGAGTAAGGAAACACGACATTAACCTGGAGAAACTTCAGACTAGGGAAACAAGTTACTGAAAAAAATAATTGAGTTCAGACTCAGCTTCAAAGACACCAATGTTTTACACATGTAAAGGCTCTTGGAAACTCAAAAGGTAGGAGTGGTAAATTTTGCTTGCGCAGGACTTCAAAAGGGACATGTAAGTTTGTCACTTAATACTACGGTTTAGTAGTATATTTCTTACGTTCGAACACCGTGGATAACGACTTTTATACTCTCATAGTATCAAAAGAAAAAAAAAAAGAAAAAAAGAAATATGCTCAAGCTCCTCTCAATAAGGCTGAAATGGAAAGATCTAAGCTAGATCACATTGGAGAACTTGTTTCCAATCCTACAGAGTTTCAAAAAGAGTGGTTTGAAACCTTTATAAAGTAATATTCATAACGGAATAATCTCTTCAAAGTCATAAAGAATTTTCAATCCAACTTGGGACCAGTTACGTGTTGAAATAAACTCTATATTGTAGTAAGTTATAATTTTTCTTGATCTTATCCTAAGGAAACACGTCTCCACGTGGTTATATTTGTCAATGAGTACAAAAATATGCAAGAGATAAAGTACTTGGCGTCCAAAGAATCCTATTTAGGAAATACAACATTCAGTAAGGATAATATCTATTAAGTAATAACCTCCCTAAAGTTATAAAATTGGTTTCGTTTTAACTATATAACATTGGAGAGGTTTTAATGTATTTGGATGGATATTTTACTGTTGTAATGCGTTGAAACCTAAAAGAACAAAACGAAAGAACGCAACCGAAGTCAGTGTAAAGAATAGTATCCTTTTCGAATCCAATGAGGCTCAACTGTTACAATGTGTATCGTAAGTTCGATAGTTGTAGGAGAAACAACTGTACAAATATAAATAAATACATACAACTTAAGAGCTTCGAGTTTGCACCAGCCCTGGAAACCATACTGTCATTGGTATAATGCTGGTAAGTATACATATAAAAACAGAGTCAGCTGCTCTGCCGATGTGTTGATTTCTGCTTCGAAAACAAAGTTAAGGTTGAAGAACGGCAGCTCAACTGCTCCTCCAATGCGTAGAATTATGTTTCATAAGTTTGTAATGAATGCTCTCGTTTTGTTTGAAGTTCTGTACAATCATTTTAAACTGGAGCGATATCTGGATTTGACTTCGGTGGTCAGAGAGCAGCTATTCCATCTTAGATGCTTCAGAAACTAGCCAACAGTGCTATCTGATTGCCTGGAAAGAGATGAGTTAACTAGTTCTGGAACCCGATCAAGCAAACGGTTCATCTCCTCTGGAAATTCTCCCTTTGCACGGTTAGTTTTTCCTCCTACGATCACTGCTGTTCCATCTTGTAAGGCCCAAATCTTTCATTTGTGCAGAGTAGAAAACAAAGAAACATAAGCATATATGAATAATGTGGGGGAACAGTTTCAATAATCACAATAATAATATCTAAAAAACCGAAGAAAGAAAATCAACGTAACATATAGGCAGAATTCACAATTAGAAATATCAACGTAACATCAACGCATCTATGATACGGTCCTGAACTACACATACTTCTGCATTAGAAAATTCAAGTGATCCTACAATACCAAATTCCACTATGATAGAGACAGACTGCACAATTAATGACACCAATTTCATGTAAGCCTGCTTGATGAAGACAAATATAAACCATTTGAACCATCATCGAACATGGGGCACATGTTTACTGGTTTACAAACACATAACAGTGACCTGTACGTCGTATAATTAAATTCTACCTGTGAATGAGAAAGAAAACTGATGCAAGTAGTAAGCATTAGAGCACCAAATCCAGCATATACAACAGGCACTCCTGGGTCAGTCTGATAAGGACAAGGTTTAGTTTCAAGGCTGAATGAATGCAGTTGAAGAAAAATGTATATTTTTACGTATATAAGAACAATTAGTTTTCACCTTCAAGTCAAGACCGCTACTCCCAATTGCATCTACAATAACAATTTTGTTGCCATCAATTTCAATTGGAAGCTTGGAACTTGGTCGTCGGACTCCAGCAAATTTTCCTTCTTGATCATACAGGACAATTGATTGTAGATCCCGAGCAAGCATTGATCTGAAATTAGAGAAAAGAATGCAGATAAGCAACAACTGGAAACAATAATCTGCCAGCGGAGATGCGGCCCCTGCCGCTCCTTTTATAGATGTAGGGGCAGCGGAAATAAAGCAACCTGTAAAAAAGCTTCAAAAACTCTTCATCCCAATTCAGCCTGGGTAATTGTTTGAAACACTAACAAGAACCCATTGGGAATTTAGCTTCCTTATTCATGTCTACTAAGGTACAAGAAAAGATATACCAGTTAGAGGGTCACATACATTCCCTTGACATTAGGAGCATTAACATCGCCAATGGGTAAGAAGGACCCATAAAGCTTCTTGTCTCCATTTATCTTAAGAGGTGCCATCGCCAAATTGAAAGGTCCTTCGTTATCCTTGAGTACTTGAAGCGCTGAAATACTCCAATCTGTCTGGTAAATCGTGATCCCTCCATACCTTAAAGGGTTATTTACACTTATTGTTTTCCTTAGCACCTCCTTGCCGTCAAGGTCCAATAGTGAAAGATCAGTGTAAAACTGTGATACCTGAGACATAAACGAGGGGGTGAAAAGGTAAACCACCTAAGCACTTAGCATTACTGATTGAGCACAACTTGGGAGATGATTATGTCATAATAAAGTTTATGATTTAAAACATGCGAGTCAAAAGGTAGCACAAAACAAAAAAATAGAGCACACAAACATTCACCTCACCACTGTCATAGTAGTTCATGTAGAATTTGTTGACATGAACCTCTGTATTAAAAGACTCAGTTGGAGTAGAGAGAAACCCAATTGGGCGCATCACATCTCCTATAACAAAATTCAAACCTTGAGGAACCATGACTGTTCCTTTGAAGCTCCCGCTTGCACTAAGAGTTCCACCTACCATTATTAGCAGCATTGCTAGATGTACTCCAATAGGGGCAAACCGACCAGCCAGCCCCTTGAAAGCATATAAAGAAGGCCCCTTCAAGAATACCTGAAAGGATCAAGAAAACCATAAGGAACAAGTAGCTATAACTATAAGGAGATAAAAGAAATTCAGGAGGAAGTATTAACACCTCATATCCAGCACCCATAAGGACAACGCCCAAATCTTGAACTGATGCTCTTGGCAAAGAGTCCGAAAATCCCTGCTTGTGGATGGCCTCAGAAGATTGCATAAAGTTCCATCTGTTTTTCCAATTAAATCCATGGTTAATAGGGCAGTGGGCAACCCAATTTCAGTTAGGGAATGATGTAAAAATGAAAAACGAAAGCAAACCTTCTCGCAACCTTGACCAGGGGTATTTGCGTAGTGTAAGTGCAGGCCATTAGTGATGCACCGAGGAGAGCCAATAGTGAAAGGAAAATGGGGGAAGTGAACATGTGGTCAAACCCAAGGGTGAGAACCCATCTCCAAGTGAAAATTCCCAACACTGGATTACTTTCAGGGTATTTATCGAAATAGAAATCCGGGGCCTCACCTTGATCAATGAAAGTTCCTGCAGAAGCGTTGCATCGACGTAAGGCCAACTTACAATTCTATATGAAGTTAAAAACAGCTCTCTTCACAATAACTCATTAAAAAAAAAAAAAAATAACAAGGCATTGCTTACAATTAGGCGCATTACGAAAAGAGAATTTCGTATCAACTTTATTTTCTCAGGAAAAAACATAATTATCCAAAATAATTAAATCAAATTTGATTTCCATCTCACGGTAAAGAGCCAGGGAAACAGGCTACCTGGACTAAAAATTCAAAAAACCCAAAATTAAGCAACTACTAACAAGCATTAAGCACCAGCAAGTAACCCAATTAAGCAAACAATCAACCAACTAAAAACCCAAAAGCAAAAATCATTAAGCTGCTCATTCAAAGATAACAAAACCCAGAAACTCAACATACCCAGAGCCATAAGACCAGCAATGGCAAACATTTCTCCAATAGCCAAAGGCAGATAAGACAGAACCGAAAGAACCCTTCTAGGAAACCTTTTCACCAAACCCATCACCCCAGTCCCACCCCCTGACTTCACCGGAGCTTCCTCGCCTCCGGCGGCGTCGCCACTCTTCTCCACCAGAGGCGGCGGCCCTCCTTCGGAGAGTATAATCTGCTTAGTTATGTTGTTGCTTTTGTTCTTGCTCTTCTTGCTGTCTTGAGGGGTCTTCAGCCCACAAGTGGTGGTAACTGAGAGGGAGAGAGGTGGTTGCCGGAAGGAACGT